ACAAAAAAATATGTGTAAGGGGGAGGAGATCGCCTGCTCGCCACCCCCCTAAATCCGCCACTGGATGATTCTATGTTAATATAGATTTATGTTTTATGATTAAATTACAGAGAATCTCGATCATTGATTTCTATATTAAATAATAAATAATAGATAAAATTATTTATTATTTTGAAAACAAAATTAAAAAAAAAAAAAAACTTATTCTTTTCACTTTGAAATTATTCGAAAATTGAGAATTTTATTTTTATCTTTAGGTAAATCAAAATGTCATTATTGTTGAACAATATCAAAGGAAATAAACAAATTCGTTAGCTCATTCTTTATTCTTTTTCGCTCATTCACATACAACTTGGATTTTTCAAGAGACAATCTCTTTCACTCTCTTTCGACTCTCTCAAACAAACGTTTTTTATTTGTTTTATTATACAGCATGCTGTCGAAGTACTTTTACTGTTACTTCGAACATTATTACTGATGAAAACGAAAATAATGGTCACGTTTTTTTTTTATATAAAAATATAAATTAACATAAATGTCCAGTACAACTCATACAGCTAAACCGATTACAATTGATCTTCGTAAATATAAGGTATAGAGAAAAAACAAAACTTTATTAACAAATATTTCATCAAGTGTTATTTATTGTCAATTTTGTCTCACATTAATTTTCATTTTAAACCACCTTATATAAACATATTCAGAAATTTATTCGACGATCACACAGTTTATTAAATTAACACACGTTTTTTTTCAAAATTCTACCGAAATAAATTGCTTAACTGTATAAATTGATTATAGAGAATAAAAAAAAGAAAGTCGATATGTATTTATTCTCGGTAGTATAAAAAGGAAGAAAATATATAATTGAACATATTTATTTATTTATTTATTTATTATTTTTTAAGGAAAAAGAAAATCGAAAAGGTGAAGGACTATTAAATGTTCAACATGTATCATCAAACTCAGGCTCAAGTGGTTCATTACCAAAAAGATATCAAAGTGTTTTTACTGAAGGTACACCATTAACATCATTTGGTCTTAAAAATGATGATCATTATACACGTTCACATTCTGTAAATAAAAATTTTTTTTTTTTTTTTTTATTATATATTCAATATTATTTTAGTTTATTTTTAGCCTCCAAATCATATTCAACCACAAATTCATCAACGACCACTTAAACCTGTCAAAGAATTTCTTTCTGCAAATTCAAATATCGATCAACAACTGTAATTAAAATATTTCATTGTCTTTTTTATTTTATTTATAAAAAAAATTATTATTTTAGAGATGATCGTCGACGTTCATCTTCTCAAGTAAATGAATAAAAATTAATTTTTTTTTATTTAATATTAATATTTATTATGTATTTTTTTAGACAAATGGTTTTACTCGTTCTCAAACAGAAGCAACTGTACAAAGTGTAAATGTTGCCTTGACAAAAACATTAAATAAATTACGTCCAGAACCATTAAATAGTGGTTCAACAACAAATACTCGTTCAAGTTCAATATATGCTGGAACATCATCTACTCGACCAATGACAGCTCGTGTAACAACACATCATAATACTGGTACAACAACAGCAACAGCAACAGCAACATCATCATCAAATTATTATTATCAATTATCTGCTAATACAAAAGGTCCATTACCAGCTGAACTTTTAACAAGACGATCAACAAGTTCATTTGCAACAAATATTTTACCAAATAGTACAACACATAATCGAGTTTCAACTGGAACTGGTCCACTTATTCTACATCAATCAACAACAATTAAAAATGAAATAAAATCTAATGATAATACAAATAATAGAATATCAACACCATTACGTGTTCCTTCTAAAACTGTTGACATTGGTTTACATCAATTAGATGGATTTAATTTTGATAATGTTACTTTAGATGAACATAATGATAAATCAAAAGTATATTTAACTTCAGTTTTTTTTTTTTTTTTTATTTTAAATTATTTATTTTATTATTATTAAAATAGATAGGAAAATATGAAAAAAATCACCAAACAATAACAAAAATAACATCTCATAAACAATCATCAGCTCCACGTCCACCAACTGCTGATAGTCAACATCGAACATTAACAGAAGTAAGTGTAAATCCTCAAATTCAAAGTTCTTTACAACAAAATCCTGATCAATTACCATATTTACATGAACCTATTCAAAATGGTATATTTTTATTAATTTATATTTTATTTTATTTTTATTTTTATTTTATATTTAAATTCAGTTGAAAAATATTCAAATCATCATCATATTCAAGTTGAACCAACAAATACAACTAAACGAATATCATCTTCAATAAAAGCTCAACAAATAATTGATGTTCAACCAACAATTATTGTTCAACATCAACGACCAACATCATCAACATCAAGACCTAATTCAGCAGCTAATATTATTCTACCATCAACAACTAAAGATCCACTTAATGAAGCTTATATTGAACGTGATAAATTAACTGTTGAAAATGTTAAGAATAATAATAATAATAATAATAATGATAGTACATCAACACTTAAACAATATGAAAATCAACAAGAAAAAATTCGAAATCTACCTAATTCTTCAACACCACCACCATCACCATCAAATAAAGAATCAAATCATCTATGGAGAAAACAACGAAATAAATATTCGATAAAAACAAATGCAACAACTTTAATTAATCGAAAGAATACAAAAACTATTCGACCACCAGCTCGACTTAAAAATTATGATTCAGATTCAGATTCAGATTCAGAAACAACTGCTACTGAAACTCAAAGTAAAGAAGATGGTTAGTTATATATATATATAACAATTATTCTCTTTATTAAATATTAAATTATATATATTTATTTAAATAGATATAGCTCGTCGTCATACTGTTCTACCGAGTGATCTTGGTAGTGATGCTTGGTCCGATTTAACTAGTGAATTTAGTGATACTAAATTACGTAAACATCCAAATATTCGTACATCAACGCCAAATATAACTCGATATAGTTCAAGTTTAAGTTCAAAAGAAGTTGGACAAATACGAAAACAATTAACTGGTTTGTTATTATTGAATAATTAAAATATATCTTTGTTAAATTTTTATTAATAGATCTTCAAATAATGTATAATGATTTATTAAAATTACTTGATATTGATATTGAATCAGTGAGAAGTAGTATTAAATCAAGTACTTCTTCACAAGCTGAACGTAGTGGACGAAAACATCGTTTTAGAAAAGTAATGCCTATTATGTCAATGCATCATTCAAATAATGATATGAAGTAAAAAATTTAATAGAATTTTTTTTTTCCTTTTCTAATCTTATCTATTTATTAGAGAAATAAATCAACGTTTTACAAGAGTTGAATCATCAATAGTAACATTAGCTGAATCCATAGCTAAATTATCTGCACAAATTCAAATGCAACGTGTTATTAAAGATGATGTTTATAATTTACGTCAAGAAGTAGCTGAACTTCGTCAACAAGTATATCATCAATATCCTCGACAACAATGTTCAACACCTGCTGGAGGAAGAACATCATCAATGTCAACAACATCTCAACAACAATCACGTTTAATAACAGCTAATGTTCAACGTCTTGCTGCTGTTAATAGTACAAATCCATTAAATATTTCAACATCTTATATGCCATCAACATCAACTATTTTACGCTCAAATTCAATTATTGATCCAAGACAAGCACGAAAAATTGAGCAGTAAAAAAAAACGATTTATTTTATTTGTGTTTTTTTTTCCATGTCAAAATCAATTATTCATTTAGATTTTTTGGTGCTGAAGCAATGCTTCGTTATTTTCTTAGTTTATTAAATTATGAAGAGTATGTTTCTGTACTTGAACAAGAAAAAATTGGTTTTTATGAATTACCATATATAAGCGAAAGAAAATTACAAAGTCTTGGTATACCATATGGACCTTGTGCTAGAATTATTTATGAAGCACAACAATATTTTATTTCACTTTTAACACTAAAATCAAATGGAATTGATGTATAAATATAGTCACAAATTTTTCAATAAATTTTTAAAATTCACTTTCTTTTTTATAAATCACCATTTGTTAAATTTCATTGAAAAACAAAATATTCAGTTGTCATATAATAACATTCTAATTTAAATTATTATTCATTCTTTCATACATCATAATCACTAAATATTTACTTTGTTTATTAAGTTTTAAATCATCATTTTTTTAAAATTCTGTTGAAATCCCAAAAGATCAATATAATCAAATTACGTATTTGTTAAATTTCATACAAAACTAATTGCATATCTCTGAGAAATATTATCTTATTATTTTATTTTCTTGTTTCAATAAAACAATTTACAATATCAATCAATCAGAATTGTTATCGTACCAATTAACTCTCAACATAATATGTGATCATTTAACTGGTAAATCAAATACTTCAATTTTGAAGAATAATTCGGATAATTTATTAGAAAGATTTATAATGATTTTGATTCTTATATTTTAATTTTGTCAGAAAAATGTTAGTATTTCAGTTGATATTAAACGATGAAACCGCATCATGAGAGGACAAATCGAACCAGTTTTTTATTTTCAATATTCATCTTTGGTTTCATGCAGAATTTAATGCATACCTTTTTGAGAACATCTCGAAGTCAATTGAATACTAGCTGTTTAAGATGTTTCACATGTCGTTCAAATGGCTCGAAAATCGACAGATAACCGTTCAGTTAATCGAAAGGTTCGCAAGATTCTTTGGTTTATTTTTTTTTTCATCTCAGTGCCTCAATATTTTAAAACTCTTAGAAAAATGTTAGATTTCAGTGAAAACTATGTATCCTAATTACTGTGAGCGATATCAAGCCACCTGTATCAATCATATCGACTGTTGTTGCTTAGTTTTCGAGTTTGATTATTTACTAAAGATGAAGTCACAAGAATTGCCATTAGCTAGAAGACTTCATCAAGAAGAAAATATGTGGCGTCATCTGACAAAAAGTATTGTGCCATATATCAAAATCGATTTTTTTCAGTTGAAATCGATCTCTTCAAAACTAATAATATTAATTTAATAAACAAAATATTAAAAACTTGATACAAAAAGGAATAAACTGTTCGAACTGTCAGTTTCGATGGAAAACTGACGACATGTGTTGTTATCCAAAATACTGGTTTTCAATTTTTATCATTGATATCACAACGATATATCTATGATTCTTTTACATATCGACATTGTTCTCACTTCAAGATGATCTCATGGTATAATCAATTCAATTCTGTATCGATTCTTATAAAAACAAGTCTATCGAGATATATATATGCATCGACGTCTTTTGTTCGTCGTTTTATTGTTATTTATTGTTAGTTAGCTGAAAACTCAAGGTGGAAAGTGCAGGTTCGGAACCCCAAGCATCTTTTCAGTACTTTTTGGTACTGAAAGTTAGTGATGGTAGGAGTGTGCAGCTCATACTCGAGACAGCTGTTTCTCAGCTACAGTAAAGACAAATCATACCGATGTTCGGGCCAAATGAAAGTGGACCTCGGATAATCCCAGAATTGTCCCAAATAATCTTATGTTTTGCCCTGACAATAGAAGAAAAAAACCGTGCTCAAATCTGATTGGTCTATACGGAAAAAAGATCAACCAAACTGTTACGATCGGATTGTTCCCATCCTGCCGTAAGACAGAGAGAAGATACCTTTTCTAGTACAGTCATTAATACGACTGCCCAGTAAGCAGTAGATGCATGGTTCGATTCCATGCGAAGGGGCATTGTCTTTTGGGTGTGGGTGTGACTGTGAATGTTTTGATACGTAAGCCCACACCCACACCGACACCCACAACCGCCCTCACACCCACAGCCGCCCTTTGGAGAGATTCATATGATGCGTGTCAACATAGAAAAACTGCAATTGAACTATCCTGAATGAAGAGAGAAAGTGTTTCTATAATATCATGCTATCCCATACGGATTACATATACTTGATATTATAAATATATTCATATAGTAATAATGTAAACTATTGACCAAGCACTTCACAACCTCACATCTTTACAGTTTTGTAGTATATAGTAAGACCTATCTACGCACAAAAAATGGCGCCAGTGTCTATTCGAATAATGGAGAAAAGGGGATACAAGCCAGTCATCCGATGCTATCTGTGCATAGATTTGATAAGTATTTGTGGTAAAAGTACTCTAAATTACATGCATACCATGTATATTTTTATATATTTTTGTTAAGCATTTTCTGCTTCGTCGGTTGATATATACCAATTGTTTCGACGATAGATTTTCTAGTACAATATACTCTTAAGTTGTTTTATATGCTAGGGCTCATATACCCTTACCATATATGTGATCGAATGTTTAGAAAAAAAGTTTGTTAGCACAGCCCCTTTGGGGCTAAAATGTGGAACTGATATATACTCTCTATTCCTATTAAGCTAATATAAAATGCATAAAGTGAAAAACCTCGGATAGACTATAGCTGTTTTGCACGATAATCGATGTGCAAAGTAATGATCTATCTAATTTCTGCATTTTTAACAGATTTTTAAAAATATTTCTACGGCGCCTTATTTTTTTTTGTTTTCATTGTTGCTATTCGCTCATTATTTTTCTTTTTTAAAGTCATTTTTGTTAATTTAATATTCTCATTATTATAATCATTGAATTATTTGATAATATTAGTGTGCTTTACGTATTCATGATATCTACAGACGATCTTACATACTATCATATATGTTAATCAACTCATAGATAATGATGTTCATTGTTCTTCAAAATTATAACTTGATCGATTTTACAAAAAAAAAACTTTAGAAAAAAGAACGGCTATTATTTTGGATTGCTGATGTCGGT